TTTAACTCATATTTTTAGCTACCTCCTGAGCTTCACGACTGCGTAGCCGCGGGCTTCCGCGTGCTGCACAAAAAGCTCTGGCGTGTACGAAATGCCGTTGGAAAACGCCTCGGGCGTTTCGTGTCCGATGCAGGCGTGGTCGGCGTTCGCGAGGCCTTTCACCTCGCCAGACGTGAAGACCGCAATCGAGTTGTCAGCGAAGTGCAGCGTCACGGAAAAGGTCGCGGCTTGCGAGTCCTGCGTGCGCTCCAAGAACACTTTGTCGTTGTTGCGGTGCGCTTCCTTGATAAACAGCCCGATGCCCATGTAGAAGTACTTCACGGTGCCGGCCGAGGAGCAGAGCTGTCGGATGCCTTGCGCCGTGAACTTCCACTGCTGGTACGGGTCGCCTCCCTTCGAGTAGGCGCAGTACGAGGGCGGAGGCGAGTTTCGGTATTCTAGCCGCAGCGATCCGTTGCGGTCCGTGTTGTAGATCAGGTAACAAGCGCTGGTCATTTTGTCGAACGGACTATTGTGGTCTACGTAAGGGCGTTCCTCGTTGTCCGTCTGTACGGCTTTTCGGTTGCAGCAAAGCATGTTTAATAGCACGTTTTCCGCATTTTTCGGCTAAACCATTTGAATTTGTGTGCTGTCCGAGTTTATTGTACAATTATCGCTAAATGTGTAAAAGTAGGTGGCGTGCGGCGGCACGCAGAGTCTGCGCGTGGGAAAGTCAACAATTTTGGAGGTGCGCGAAAATCTGAAGTAGCAGACTTTCCCGCCATCCTGCAGGAGGACGCGCTAGACGAGAGCAAGTAAGCGTCTGCAGTCTCTAACAGGCAAGTTACGTTTGCGCAATTAATTGCGAAACCCACGAGCGCGACATCTCACTCGCTGTGCCACGTGTGCGGTCGCGAGTGCGACGCCATGTGCGTGCTCTGCGGCAAGGCCCGCAAACAAATCTACCTTTGCAGTTTAAAATGTTATAATATCCATAAAGCGGCGGACTGCAAGCACTAGCGCCTCGACATGAGCAAAGTTCCCGTGCCGTGTTTGCTCGACCCCCGACACAGCGTGCTTGAGTGCCGACAACGCCGGCATTTTCGGGTCTGCACGTTCGTCAGAGACGCGGCGGCAGAAAGTTTGGAGCCGTTTTACGACTCCGGCGTAAACGAACTGCCGACAAATTTTCCCGACCGAGCGCGGCGCGCCGTGGAAACGTGCATGCCGCCGCACTTGCAAGCGGAGCACTTGCACAGAAAGCGGCGCGACGTCGCAGTAGACGTCGACGCGGCGCTCGGCTACGCGCGGCGCAATGTGTCGCTGCTCTTTGAAAAACTGTTAGCGCGGCTCGAACTTTTGGACGAAGAGATGGCGCACGATATTGCCGGCTTGCGAAACGCAGCGCAAGGCCCGAGTTACCCGCAGCTGTTGACCGCGCTGCGCGTTTGCGACCCGGTCGCGGGAAGGCTCGCCGAGTTGATGAAGCAAAGGTTCAGCCCGGGCGGCGACGCAGAGCAGCTCTCCGCCGCGAATAAGCACTTTTTTCAATGCGTGGCGCTGTTGACGCAGTTCTACAGCAACATCGCGGACGCGGCGGAGTTGAGTACGAGCGCGCTGTTTGTGGAGCTAGGAGCAGGCAAGGGCGGGTTGATTAAGTGGTTCATCGAGCTGGCGCGGCTCAAGTCGTGCAGCTGCGACAGCGGCGCCTGTGTTGGCGGCTGCGTTGGCGCGTGCGCGCGTAGCGACTCGGGCGGTTTCTTCGTTTCAGTCGAACGCGCAAGTCGGCGCAATTCGAAAGAGTACCAAGACTTTGACGGGCACAAGGCCGGCGCAGTCGCGGCGAACGTCATGCAAGTGAAGGTAGATTTGCGGAACTTGAATTTCTCGAAGCTGGTGAACCTCGACGCGAACGTTCCGCACCCGTTCGTGCGCGAGCCGTGGGTTGTGCAGCTGCTTAAAGAAGTGGGCTCGCTAGACAGAAGTGTGCCGGCCGACCGCGCGCTGATGGAAAGACTCGCGCAGAAGAAGACGGAGCGCAGCGCCGAGCAGTGGCGCGCGAAACTGGCGAAAGCGTGCGCGACGACGGACTGTGCGCAGCGCCCCGTCGTGTTTTTGGCAAAGCACCTGTGCGGCGCCGGTTTCGACGAGGCGCTGCACGCGCTCTGCAAACTGCGGCGAGACGAGCCTGCGCGCAGAATTTGCGCCGTGTTGGCGCCGTGCTGCTACCACGCGTGTGCGTTTGTGCTGGGCAGCGAAACGCTCGACGGCTGTCTCGCCGAGTTGGACCTGTCGCTCGCCGAGTTTTTGTCGCTGCGGCAGAAGATCGTCGGCTGGAGCACTGGCGCGACGGGGGAGAAGGCAGCGCTCGGGCGCGCGCTGAAGTGCGCGTTGCTCGGCGCGCGACTGGCCTCGCTGCGCAATGGCGGGTTTTTCGCGCGGCCGCTGGTGTACGCGCCAGAGGCGACGTCGCGCGAGAACGTCGTCATTGTTCTCGATTCTCATAAGCCTCTCGCAGTGCGCTGAAGACTTCCGCCCACGCCTCTACAACTGCCGCATCGCGCACTTTGTCGGGGTGGCAGCGGCGCATGACGTTGTTGTAGTGGCGCTTGAGCCCGCTTTCCGAGTAGAGGTCGACGCGCGGAATGGCTGCGGTGTCGGGCAGCACGAGGTGCACGTTTGAGAGCAGGTCGCGGATGCCGCGGTGCTGCGCGCGCCACGCTTTGACGCGCGCGCGCGCGTCTGCGGCGGGCGGCGCGTCGCCGCGCGACTCGCTCGGTGGGGACGCTTTGAGCGTCTCAATCAGGCGTTCGGAAGCCGGCTCGTCGGTGTGCCGCGACGACGAGGCGGAGTGTGGCGCCGGTGCCGGCGACAGCTCGGTGAGCAGCTCGGTGAGGCCCACGTCGTCGCTCTGCAGCTCGAGCGCGCGGGTGCGGGCCGGCACTTGCGGGGTTTCCGCGGCCGCTGCGGAAGCGGGCGGCGCGGGAGCGTTGTGTGGCGCGAGTAACACGACCTTTAGCGAGGCGATTAGCTGCCCGCGCACTCTGTGGCAGACTTGCGAGACCGCGACAGTCGGCGCGACGGCGCACCACTCGTGCTCGTCGAGCCGCATGAAGAACAACGCGCCTGTGCCCGGCGGCGCGCGCGCCAGCACGGGCTGCAGCACGTCGCGCAGCGGCTCGTCGACGTGGTCTGCGATGCGCACGTTGTTGTGGCTGATGCGCTGTGCGAGCGTGTCAAACACCGAGTAGAGGACGACGGCGTGCACGTGCGGCAGCAACGGGTGAACCGTTTTCAGTTCGGCGAGCAACTCGTCGAACACCGTGAGAAACGAGCTCGCGCCGTTGCTGCCCGGGAAGTCGAGGTCAGAGAGCCACTCTGCCGAGAAGAGACGCATCACACACAGGTGAAATTCGCGCCGAAATAGTCTAAAAAAGAATAAAAGGCCGGATGTTTGTGATCGAAGTGCATGTCTGGAATCGATCGCGAAAACATCAGCCAGGCGCTGGCGTCGATTCTGACGAAAAAGGAACTGTGCACGCGGATCGCGCAGGACTACATTGACGTAAGCACCGCTGCGCGCGAAACAGAACTTCAGCACCCGCCATGATAAGACTCTGGACCTCGACGAAACGACCGGCGTGGTCGTAAGCCTGATGCGGCAGTTCCACCTGCCGCCGGTGGACCGTGAGCTGGTGCGGCCGGTGTTCGAGCGCTACGACGTGCACGACGAGGGCCGGCTGCATCTCGACGAGTTCGTGATTTTCGTAAGTGCATGCGCCGGCGTCGCAGTTTTGGCGGCTGATCCAGCGGATCCGCGACCGCTACTTTCCCGCGAAAGAGTTCGTGGTGCAGAAACAGATCTTCGTGAACCGGCAGCCGCTGGAGACGATGAGCGGCTTGTTCAGTTTCTTCACGGACTTCGAGTTGGTGGGCACGGGTAGCTTCGGCACGGTGTACGTGGTGCGCGAGTTGGTCTCGGGCAAGCTGCGCGTGTGCAAGTGCATCTCGAAGGCGAAGGCGCTGGTCGCGGCCTCGCAAATCGAGATCGAGATTAGCGCGATGAAGGCGCTGAACCACCCGAACATCTTGAAGATCTTCGACGTGTTCGAAGACGCGAAGCACGTGTACCTGATTCTCGAGCACTGCTCGGGCGGCGAGCTGTACAAGCGGATCACGCAATCGGGCAAACACGGCTGCGTGCTCGCGGAGGGCGAGGTGCGCGGGTTGATGAAGCAGATCTTCCAGGCGCTGGCTTACATGCACTCGAAAAAAGTGCTGCACAAGGACCTCAAGCCCGAGAACATTTTGTTCAACGACCGCACGACGCGCGAGCGCATTTCGATCATCGACTTCGGGCTGTCGGAAATCTTCGACAACGGGCAAGACTTCACGCGCAACGCGGCAGGAACCGTAACCTACATGGCGCCGGAGGTTTTTGCGCGGAAGCTGTGCTTCAAGAGCGACATGTGGAGCGCGGGCGTGTTGATGTTTCTGCTGTTGACGGGCCACCTGCCGTACTCGGGCTCGACGGTGTTGGAGGTGCGGCGCAAAGTCACGCGGATCGAGCCGGCGTACGAGCGGCGCTGTCAGCACGTGACGAAGGTCGCGGTGGACCTCCTGCGCAACTTGCTGAACCGCAACGTCGCGAAGCGGTTCTCGGCGGTCGAGGCGCTGCAGCACCCGTGGTTCAAGGTCAGCGAGCGCGACCGCGTGCCGGTGCCGCCGCGCATGCTGAAGAGCCTGTGCCACTTCGTGCGCAACAGCCAGCTGAAGATTGTCATCTTCAACCTGATTAGCTACCAGCTAGAGCACGACGACCGCGAGGTCGACGAGATCGCGACGATCTACTCGAACATCGACACGCTGGGGTCCTCGATCGTCACGCGCGCGGCGGTCGAGAAGTACCTGGTGTTCTCAGGCATGAACGAGCTCGACGCGAGCTCGATCTGCGACAAGCTCGACATCGACGGCGACGGAGTGATCAGCTACACGGAGTTTCTGTGCGGCTGCGTGGAGTGGAAGGAGGCGCGGCTGCGCTCGATCTACACGGCGTTCTTGCGGCTCTGCGAGCCGGGCAAGACGGAGCTCGCGGTCGAGGCGCTGTTTCACAAGCTGTGCGGCGCGGAGGAGGTCAGCTCGGCAGAGACGTACGAGCTGCTGCTCGCGGTGAAAAAGATCGACACAGACGGCAACGGCTACGTGAACTGGCCGGAGTTTCTCAGCTACTTGAAGCGCTGAGTGCAGAATGCAATGAAAGGCGGCAACTGGAAAATAGCGTTTGCGCGTATTAAAATTTGCAGCACAGAAATATTCGAATATCGTGTTTAAAATTCTGTTTATTTTAAGCGACTAAACGTTCGAAGTTCATCCTCAGCGCAATGGAGAAGAGTGATCAGAAGTTCCAGAGCAAGGTTGCGCGCGACAGCGAGAAGCGCAGGTCTAAGTCTTCGTCGATGCAGGGGCGCTATTCGTCCTACATCAACAAGATTTTGAAAAACACCGACAGCAGCATGACCATCAGTTCGAAGGCCATGAACATCATGAACTCTTTTGTGATGGACAACTTCACGCGCATTTGCGAAGAGGCCGTCGTGCTGTGCAAACGCAACAAGACTAAGACGCTCACGGCGCGCGAGATTTCGACCGCCGTGCGGCTCGTGTTTCCGGGCGACTTGGCGCGCATGGCGTGCGCGGAAGGCGGCAAGGCGGTGCAGAACTACGCGGCGAAGTCGAAGTAGTCGGGCGCAGCGTTCGCGCTTCAGCGTGCTGTAAATGCATTGATTTAACTAAGTGGCTTTGTTCGTTTACGTGCTCTGCTCAGAGCAAGCGGGGTTGCGACCGCCGGCGCGTAGCGCGGCGGCTAGTCGTCGTCGCTCGAAAGCATTGCGCACCGCAAGATGCGTATGAAGAGGTGGATGATGTCTGTGTAGAGACAAAGCGTTGCGATGGCCCAGTCGTCGACTGAGAACTCGAACTGCCGGTGCTTGCCGCCGACGATTAGCTGCAAGTCGTAAATGATGTAAATGCCCTCGAGAACGACAAACCCAAACCCGGCCAAAATGAAGAGGAACTGGCTGCGGAAGCACAGCGCGAGCACAGAGCCGAGCGTCAGCAGCGCCGCGACCACGAACAAGTAGGTGCCCTTTGCGGTGAAGTCGTACTTGGTGAACGAGATGCCCACGAGCAGCGCGAAGAGCACCGCCGTGCCAAAGAATGCGATCAGAACCGCTTTCGCGCTCGCGATGACGCACCAGTAGCTCACCGCGACCGACGTCAGCAGCGAGATTGCGCCGAGGTAGCTAGTCGCGAAGGAAGTTTTACGCAGGACGCGCTTCGGAATGCAATAGCACGCGACCGACAAGATGAACAGCAGAATCGCGGCGACGGCCGAGATGGCAGGGTTCTGCAGGATGCTCTGTTTCGCGCGCGGGTTGAGATTGCAGAGCGTTGGGAAAATCGCAGTAACCGCCAGCATGATCATCACGAGCAGACAGACTTTGCGCACAAATTGGTTACGCATCTGCCGGTCCAACAGCTGGTTCACCTGGTAGGCAACCGCGTTGGTGCCTGGCTCGCCTTCGGGGTCTTTGCGCGTGCTGGTCGCCCAGCGCATTTCGGTGAAGTGGCTCGCAAGCCAGTTGAAAATTCCTTTCTTGCCGCCGCCCGACGCGGCGGCGTGTTGCGCGGCGTTCGTTGCAGGCGCCCCGAGCTGCTGAGCGTTCGCAGCAGCGGCAGTCTGCGGCGCGGCGCCGGGCGCGTACATCTGCTGCGGCGCGGCGCCGGGCGCGTACATCTGCTGTGGCGCGGCGCCGGGCGCGTACGCTGTCTGCGACGGTGCACCTGGTGCGTACGCTGTCTGCGACGGTGCACCTGGCGCGTACAGCGTCTGCGGTGCGGCGTTGGGCATCACTGGCGGTGCTTCGCGGCGCGCTGTCTGCTCTCTCCACGCTGCTGCGGACTCAGTGAGCCGTTGTGTGGAAGAGGAAGCAGGTGACATTTTCGTAAATCGACTCTTGTGTGCCAAGCAATTCTTAAATACTGCAGGATAAAATGCGCATTATTCGCCGCCGAACGCGCAGTCCAGCGCAAGTTTGCGTGCGCTTGTTTCGAAAATCGCTTCGTCTTGCGTGTCTTTGTAGAACAGCTTGTGCACCGTGACGTGCTGCGTTTGGCCGATGCGCAGCACGCGCGCCTCCGCCTGTCGGTCGGTCTGCGGGTTCCAGTCGTGGTCCACGAGCACCACGGTGTCGCTGCACACCAGGTTCAGTCCGAGCCCCGCGGCCTTCGTGCTGAGCAGTAGCGCGTCGCTGGCGTCCGCGCGGAACTGCGCGACGATTGCGGCGCGCTGCGCGACCGAAGTGGCGCCGTCGATGCGCAGGTACGCGACGCGCGGGCAGAAGAGTGCGAAGCACTCCTCGAGTACGTCGAGGACGGAGGTGAAGTGCGAGAAAACTAGAATTTTCTTGCGCGCGTCTGCGCAGTGCTCCACGAGCTGCACGACGCGGTTGAGTTTTTCGCTGGCACGGAAGTACTCTGCCGCGACGCAGAATTCTGCAAAGGCCGCGCCGAGGCTCTTGGCTTCGGCGTGGATCGCGAAGTCGGAGAGCTGCGCGACGTACGCGCTGAGCTTCTGCGCGTCGATTTGCGCGTAGCGCGGCGCGGCGCGGCGCAGCTGCGCCGCGAAGGCCGCGCGTTGCGCGGGCGAAAAGTACGAGCGGCAGAGCACCGGATGGCTGCAGATGCGCCGCAGCTTGAACAGAATGCTGCGCAGCACGGTGCGCGAGCACGCGTTCGCGACCGACTTGCTCGCCGCGAGCACTTCGTCGTACAGCCGCCGCTGCAGCGGCGAAAGTTCGAGCCACTCGATGCGCTCCGTCTTGCGGATCAACTGCGCGAGCACGTCTTTGCGGAAGCGGCGCAGCACGAGCGGCGCGAGCAGCAACTGCGTGAACGCGAGCTCGCAGTCGGTGCTGCGGCGCAGCGGACGCAGCTGTTCCGCGAGCAGCCGCTGCGCCGCAGGGTCTAGGTCTGCGCGCGCGCGCAGCAGCGCGACGCACAGCTCTGCGACGTCGCGTGGCGCCTTCGCGACGACCTCGGAGAACGGCTGCGGGATGCGCGCGCCGTAGGGACGCAGCAGGTCGGAGAGCTGCAGCAGCTCGCTGAGCCGATTTTGCACGGGCGTGCCGGTCAGAAACAGTCGGTGCCGCGCGCTGACGTTGCGCGCCAGCCGGCGGTAGGTAAGGCTTGCGGCGTTCCGGATCGTGTGGGCCTCGTCGACGACGAGTAGTTCGTACTCGAAGTCGCGCAGCAAGAGCCGCGCGTCGCGCTTGTCTGCCAGCAGCGCAGGCGTGGAGATCAGCACGTCGACGCTGCGCGGCAGCTCGCACGCGCTCTCGAGGTCTTCGAACCACAGCGTGTCGTCCTCGCTGAGCTCAGCGCTGCGTTCCGCCGCGCCCAGCCCGCGCGCGGCAAACTGCTTCGCGAGCGCAACCGCGAGCGGCCCGCGCGTCGCCCACGCGCCGTGGTAGAGCACGACGTGCGTGTCCGGCGCGAAGCGCGCGAACTCGGACACCCAGTTGTCGAGCACGGAGGCGGGCGCGAGCACCAGCGCCGGCGCGCGCAACCGGCCGCTCTGCTTGAGATGCGCGATGTACGCAATGGTTACAACCGTTTTGCCGAGCCCCATTTCGTCGGCGAGCATCGGGTTGTAGTCGTGCTCGTGCAACACGGAGATCCAGTGCACTGCAGAGCGCTGGTAGGGCAGCAAGGCAGGCGGCAAGGCAGACAGTGGCGGTGCGCTCTCCGTTAGCCCGCCGTGAGTGCGCTGAAAGCTGCAGCTGCCGACGCCGAACGCGGCGCTAAGCTCGGCGCGTGCCGCCGCGTCGTCAGTGGCGGCGAGCGCGTTGAGCAGGAGCGCGCGCAAGTCGACTACCATGTTCAGCACGTCGTACAGGCTCGCCGCGGCGTCCGAGCGCTCAGGCTCGCTACTATCGTTTTCGGCCTCCGACGCGCTAGGCGTCTCGGAGGCGCTGTCCGGCGCGGAGGCGTCGCTGCCGCGCGGCGCTGCGCGAGGCGAAGGCGTTCTCGCCGCCGCGGGCGACGCTGCACGGCGCCGCTTCGAATCGGCTGCGCCCGCAGGACGAGGCGAGGCGGTGCGAACGCTGGCGAGCGCAGACGAGCGCATGTCAACGCGGCTCAGCGCGGCGCGCGGCGCGCATTTCGGCAAACAGATCTGGCCACGCGCTTAAAAGAATTAAAAATCCTCGTCGAATTTGAAGGAGTCCGCTTGTTTCGCGGCGGCGGCGGCGTCCGCGGCGTCGCTGGTGCTCAGCAGCGTGCCGTCTACGACGACGGGCTTGTAGAACTCTTTGTCGCTGGGTGTGAACCGGAACTTGTGCACCTGGATGTCCGGGTGCTCGTTGCAAAACGTTTGCAACTGCAGCAACTCGGCGTTGCTGCGGACGGCGTACGACTCAGAGCCGGAGAAGCTCTTGAGCAAGTGCAGTGCCGTGCTGCCGAGCAAGCAGTCGATGT